TAAATCTATATTACCAACCTTGATAAAACGTTCTAACAATGATATTATATTTTCCAAATGTTGGTAATTATTATATTTATTAATTACAATATGTTATAGTTTCATTGACTAGGATATATCGTTGAAATAAATAAAATTGTTTATAGATAATAAAATAAAAATTAACAATTACTCTTTACTTAATCAAATAATCTATTTAACCGATCATCAATATATATGTTTGGTATTTATTCCATTTCTTACCAAGAAATTCATTGATTCATCTGGCAATTTTATCGACTATCGGTATTTCGATTATATACACGCTGCCAACTTTACAAATTTTTTTAAACTGTAGCGCTAAAATAAAGATTACGGAATTCCTTCTATACCGACTACGTTTTTGTATTGGAAACAAAAAGTTTCTTAAGAGGAAAACAAAAAGAAAAAAAAAAAAAAGAAAACAGATAAGATCAGAAAAGAAAAAAAGAAAAAAGAACGATCTTCTAATTGATTCTTGTGATGTAAATTATTAAACTCAAATTTATTATAGATTGGAAAATTTTTTCATTATCTTATTTGCATAAAAACCTATATGTAAATTAAATAAAATTAGAGATGTGTATGTATGTACTAAATGATGCTATAATAACAGTAGAGACGTGAGTTGACATAATTAATATTAATGAGTGACACGCCTTGATATACGTATACATCTATTTAATTCATTTTAGGTTAGGATGATCATTTTTTGTATTTATTTAATGTCAAGCGATAAAAAGTTACATTTTTACATTTATTATTTAATGATATAATTAAGATGAAATAAAGTAATAAAATTAATATTTGTTTGCGTAAAGTCTATAACAAAATAAATCAATGACGAACTATGAAAAAAATATTGACAATACTTACATACATATATACATACATACGTACATTTTATGCGTTGAAAAATTATTATTAGAGAAAAGCTTAGTATTCTTTTCAACATTAATTTGTTTTAATTTATATATATTCACGAGAGATAGAGAAGGAAAGAGAGAGATGGAAAAATAGAGGGAGAGAGAGGAAGGGAGGGGGAGAGAGAGAAAGAGAGAAAAAGGGAAAAAGAGACTCGAAATAGTCGATCATTTTTCCCGTGTTAAACACTTGGAATTACAAAGATTGTTCACAATAGGAGCATGCGTAGTGTCCTAAGAAATTACTCATCTTAGTTGCGTCGTGATAAATGAAGGAAATTCGACGGTCTTGTTTATTACGTTCGTGAAAAAAAAAAAAAAAGAAAAAGGAAAAGAAGAAAAAAAGAAAGAAGAAGATTTAAATAATATCCGTAGATATTATATAACACATTCCTGTTACTCTTGAAGTTGAAATTAAAATTTCTTTTCAAGTCACGCACAAAGCGAAAACCGCTTTCACGTTCGATCACGGAATCACGAATTCTTCGTTGTTCGTTCTTCAGCTATCGCGACCGCCATATTCGAAAGTAGCGCCATCCGGTAATTATTCAGCGAATTAGAATGAAGGTCGGACTTCTTAAATGTCGAATATATTAGTACTTACCATCATTAATATTTGATACTTTGAGTTTACGCGTAATCTGGGTAACAATGAGGTATATCGTTGCGCTTGACGTGGGAACGACTACTGTTCGTTGTCATATTATCGACGAAAATGCTGTTGTTATTTCCTCATCGACGGAAAAGGTATGAAACGTTTGTTAAATTATTTGAAATATCTGATGTCAATCTTTTAATATAATAAATGAAAGTAATTTTTTCTTTTAATGATCAGCAAATATTTTAGGCTATTCTCGTGTTTTAAATTTTACAAAGATAAAATATGCCAACTACAATATTTGTATTCTTTCTTTCTTATTTTTTTTCTTTTTCTTTTTTTTTTTTTTTTTTTTTAATTTGATAAAAGTCTCAAATAGTTTAAAAGTTATTTTTCTTGGTTTCTTTTTTTATATTTAATTTAAATATTTCAAAATAGTTCCTTTTTTTTCCTCTATCGATAAGATAGTAAAGTATAACATAATATTTAGGAAATATTTCGTAAATGTACGATTATTGAACATATACATTTTAATTGGATCACATATTTATATGAATTCGAAAATAATATTTATCAGTAGTGCACATTGTAAAAGCAATAAATAATAAGATAAAATTTAATATTGCTATTTTGTATTTTCGCTTTTTAGAGTAAACAGAAATGAAATATAAATTAAAAAAAAAAAAAAAAAAGAAATATTTAATAAAATATTAGAATACGTTTATCGCAAGAATTCGTGATATCGAGTTGAATATTTAAATAGAAATTATAAAAGAAGAAGAAGAAAAAAAGAAAAAAGGAATGAAATGATGTTACGGATTCTTTTCATTACTTTTACGTTTAATGTTTCAACGATTGAAATTCATGGATTGAATTTCAAAGATTGATTCAACGATTGAAATTTTTAAAAGATATCTGATATTTACGATCCTGACATCAGATGCTGTTATGGTTCGTAATAAATTAATTATATATTATTATCGAACGGATTTTAATTAAGTACATATTATTATCGAACGAATTATGAAAAGTGATTGAAATATGAAGATATATATAGGTATATGTTACGTGAAAAGTACGGCATTTTTGACAGATAATATTTTGATGATGAAAAAAATTTCGTAAAAATCCCGAGCGAACAATGAGAAAGGCTAGTTAGAAAATTTTGTTATTTTTGCTCATAATGAAATAGTTGAGTTCATGAGGAAATAGTACGAATACTTCGTGTAATTTTAATAAATCGTATCTATATAATTTTTTAATTTAAGTTGAAGATATGTTTATCAACTTTTTTCAAAATTCCTACAATTCAGTCTCTAATCTTTTAACTAGAAAACTTTATGCTGATTTGATAATATTTTATCGGATATTATATATATATAAAAGCATATATTTACAAGATATGTAAAAGCATATATGTTTTCAATAAAGCATTTTTGAGCATAAGTTTACATGAACTTTTTTCATCCATAGGATCTCAGTAATACGTAATATAAATTTGATCCAATACTTTTTGGACACCCATTGTATGTGTGCATTAATGAAGTTACCATTTGAGAAATTTTTGAGAAATTTTGATAAGCTCATACTCATCAATTCAGCTTGAAAAAAAGAAAAAAAATCATCTCCAAATTTCATTCTCTTATTAAATTTTACGAAAGGAGATATAATTATTTATATTTAAATAATACAGAGATCTTAAATATTTTCATATATCATTTTTTGAAAGAATCAATGTGTTTAGAAAAGATTTGATTGTAATAAAAAATTCAATTTTATTCGGGATAATTTCTTTTATTTCATTTTATTTTATTTTACTGATCCACAGGTGGAACTTATTTATGAAAAACGCGGTCACGTAGAAATTGAGCCTGACCATTTATGGACGATTATAGTGAAAACTGTAAAGGATACGATAAACGGTAAAGTATATAAAATAAGATAAATAACATGATAACGTACGATTATGTGAATGTAACATTATTATTCGTACTTCTTTATAATTTGATCTATATATATTATTGCGTTCACGATATATATAATATATTATTACAATTTGTATATTAGTACAATTGATATAATATATTATCGTACAATTGATATTTCTATTTAATTATTACGTATTTCTATTTAATAAAATTACGTTCTATTTAAACGTGCTGCATAGCGAAAGATAACGCATTATTTTTTTTTCTTTTTTCGAGTCGCGATTTATAATAATACAAAATTAATATTAATATCCGTATGATTTTCGTTTATTATTTTCATTAATTTTTCAAATTTATTAATTTTTATTAACATTTATTGTTCGTTATTAGCCAGCGGAGTCGATCCAAATTCTTTTGCTTGCTTTGGAATTTCTGTACAGCGTGGAACTTTTATTTGTTGGAATTTATTAACTGGAGAACATTATCATAAGTGAGTATGCAATATTGATGCTAATAAAGTTCGTCATTTCAATTTTGACATAAATTATATGAATATAATACTTCTCTTTGTTATTATATATTATGTATTATATATTATATATTATAATAAAAATAAGGAAGAGAAATATAATAGAAAAATTTATTTACATTATTAAAATTTCAATTAAAAATTCAAACAGTCAATTAACAATTTTCTGCATGGATCAACGTTAACACATTACGATAATTCACATTGGGATATTCAGTTATATAATTAATCTTTTCATTTACAGTTTCATAACATGGAAAGATCTAAGAGCTGATTCTATGGTTAAAGAATGGAATAATTCGATTATGATAAGAGGATTGCGCACAGTCGCTTATATTCTTTATATGTTATCAAAAAACAAACATTATCTTGCTATTAGTGCCTTCAAGTTTATAAATACTCAGGTTTATCATTTATATTTTATTGTTACATATCTAATACATATATATATATATATACACATATATAAACATTTTTCTTTTGATATCGATAATCTATTAGATGAATTTATTTCATTTAATAAATTTGCATCTTTTTTTTAACTTCGAAATCTATTTCGCTCTGATGAATATATATATGTATAAATATTTTATATATATATATATATATATATATATATTTTATAATACATATATACATGTATATATAAATTCATAACTATTTTATATATATATATATATAAAACAGTCGTGAATTTTTCAAACTAATTAATCTAATCTAGATTGTGACTAACAATTTCTAAAATATATTTATATTTATATATATATTATATTTTTATAAAAGAGTATTTATATATTTATTTATTTATTCATCACTTGCTGCAAAAAATAATTGTCATCATATATTTTAGATCACTTTACGATTGCTTTGGGCTTTACAACATGTATCAGGTCTACGTGAAGCTATTATGAATGACTCTGTAGCATTTGGCAGTATCGATTGCTGGCTTTTATACAAATTAACTGGTACGCTTTATTAACATTTGTTATTAATTTAAAATTGATTGTATCTGTTGTATTGGCTATAAAATTTTATCACTTTTTTTTTTCACGACAATGGTATTCCAGCTGTTTTACAGTAAAAATAAATTGATCAAAAATAGGTGCACACGTTTAAGTATCTCTATCTTTCTCTATGTATTTAAAAAATCTTAATTAAAGCAACAAATTAATTCAATTATATGTTTCCGTTTGCTTTCACATTTATTTTCTTATATATATATATATGTAATAAAAAAAAAATATATATATATATATATATATACATATATTTTTTGAATATACACATCTTACTTATATATTTAATATTTATTCTTCATAGGCAGACATATAACAGACATTTCGAGCGCATCTGCTACTGGACTTTTTGATCCATTTACTATGAAATGGGCTACTGGAATATTAAGTTTATTAAAAATTCCGTCCCACATTTTTCCCGAGATCGTTGATACAATTACTAACTTTGGTGTTACACCAAAACATATATTTGGCATTGAAATTCCTATAGTTTGTTGCGTAAGATTTAAGAATAGAAATTCTTTTCAAGATCAACTTGTATATCGATGATCTTTTCTTCTTTTCTTTTTTTTTTTTTTTGTTTTTTTCTTTTAACATACAATCATTCTTTATAATTTCAGATGGCTGATCAATCAGCTTCTTTATTTGGCTCAGGATGTTTTCAACCAGGCGATATGAAGATTACAATGGGTACAGGAACTTTTTTAAATGTAAATACTGGAACAAAACCACATGTGTCCATTAATGGTAAGTATAAAAAAAAAAAGAGAATACAAATTTTATAATTCTTTTATACAATCATATATTAAATAATATCTAACGAAAGTAAAATTAATCCATCAGGCCTTTATCCTCTGGTTGGTTGGCGCATAGAATCTGAATTAGTTTACATTGTAGAAGGTGCATCGAATGATACTGGAATTCTTATGGAATGGGCAAAAGCTCTTGGTAATTTTTCATAAAATCTTAATATTTAAATTACAAAATACAATCTTTACAATATCGGTATATTCATTATTTATATGCATGGATATTATTTGTAGTTATGACTATGGGGTGTAGAATATCCCAGATCAACTTTGAACTCAATTAAAACAATTTACGTATTGTATGATTCATGAATTTTTTTTTCTTTTTTTTTTTTTTTTTTATAACGACAAAAATGCGTTTTTAAATATATTGATTATTATTCACGAGACTTCGAAGAGCATTAAAGTGCCTGGGATGTAGCGCACTCCAAATGCACAACTTGAAATTATTTTGACGTATACATAACTAGGGCTTTATATATATATATATATATATATATATATATATATATATATATATATAATTTAATCATATATTATATTATAGAAATATATAAAGATGAAGCAGAAACAGTTGATTTAGCATATTCAGTGGATAACTCAGATGGAGTATATTTTATACCGGCATTTACCGGACTTCAGGTATATAAACATTTAATACTATTAATAAAGTAAAAAATGTTTAATACTATTATTGAAAATAGTTATTTTGTAAATTACAAAATGTAAAATTAAATATGCAATTGCAATGTATATTAATTAAAAATTTTAATTATATGAGAAGGAAAAAAAGGTGATAAAAAAAAAAGATGTTAAACGTACAATGCTTTTCCTTTTTTTTAGGCTCCAATAAATAATCATACCGCTGCAGCTGGTTTCTTAGGTGTGAAGCCTACGACGAAGAAAGGCCATATCGTACGATCATTGTTAGAAAGTATTGTATTCAGAACATTATTACTTTATGATATTTTGCGTACTGAGACTCGTTACAGATATAAAAAAATACGGTAAAAATATATTACTATTGAGTGAGTCATGAATAAGAAAGGAATTAGAACAAAATAAAATTAATTAAATTCATTGATAAATAGAATTGATGGTGGTGTATCTCAAAATGATTTCATCATGCAACTATTGGCGGATTTAACGGGTTTGGAAGTAGAACGACCTGTTGATGTGGAAATGTCTATTTTTGGCGCAGCTATTTGCGCTGGTTTACATTGTGGTATGATATTTAATTTCGTATGTATATATATATATACAAGAAAGGATTGACGTAAATTAAAAATTTATCATAATACATTTTAGGTATATGGAAAACTAAAGAAGAATTAAAGCATCTTCGTAAAATAGATAAAATATTTAAACCGAATAAGAATTCACAATTGTGTTATCAGAACACAATTGCACAATGGAAACGTGCTGTGGACCGATTTAAAAACTGGTACTGATATCAGTTGTATTTGAACATAATCAGGTAAAAAAAAAGATAGAATTATTTTCGTAGTATATTAGAAATATTAATGCATTATAAAATATCAGTTTAATTGAAGCTATTGTAAATAAGAGATATGCAATAATCTTTTTTTTTATGATTATTGCTACATTCAGAATACACAATTAATTTATAAATAATATTTTGATAGATAGATGAATTGAAATAAATAGATACGACACGATCGATTTTTATTTAAGATATTATAATAAGATATAATATTTCTTTAAGTCAATAGTTACATTATAATACGAATCATATAATATAGAATCAATGCTTGGTCGAAACAATATTGATAATCTATTTATCAATAACAATCATTATTTCTCTACAATAATACAAAATATATTAAAGCAATAATATATTTTGTTGTGAATCGATTGGTTATACATTATATGAACGTATGTCATCTTAATAATTTTTTAATGTTTCTAAAAAAAGTGCCTTTTATGTTGTTGTCGTGTTTATGCATTTTTAATCAAAAGAATATTTTTTTCTTTTTATACACGACATTTGCCTGTAAAAAATATTTTAAACAATAAATTATATAACATAATGTTATCGAGTTTTAATTAATCATATCTATATTATATTATACATTATTATTATTTTTCTGTTCACAAAGATATTTAATATAAGAGTTAAATTTATAGGTGTTATTAAAATAAATAATACATTGTCAGAAGAAGATGTGAACGTATTATAAACTCGTACGTCGTATTATAGTTCGGTTGAAACCGGTTTTTCCATGTCCGCATTGTAATCTGTATTAAACGCACTATTCACATTGAGCGCGTAATAACATGAAACAAAGTCAAACGAGATATATATTTATTTAAAGCTACACTTGCAGACATTTAATTAATATATTATGTAATCTTATCTTGGATATAGAAGATGACAACGCATATTTTTTATTTCGTTTTCATTTTTTTATCCCCTTATATATATATATATATATATATATATATATATATACATATATATATATATATATACATCCATATATATATTCTTTTTTTTTTCTTTTTTCTTTTTTCTATATATTCTATTTTTTTTTTTCTTTTTTATTTTATGGAATAGATTACGTTTGTTAAACTCGTTTAGTTTTCTCGCATCGTTCGAATGAAATTTTTATCTCGAAGTGATGTACCATTTGAATCTTTAAGTAATATATATATATATATATGTTTTTATTTAAATCCGTATTAATTACTAATTAAGATCATTTAAATTTTTGATTATTAATATTTCCTTATTAATTCATTAATTTATATTTCAAATATCAATTGCCATATTGTTATGATAACCGTTTAAAATCCGTAAGGAACTTTTAATTTATTCAAAATGATTTCAATTTAATTATTCAAGTTAATTATCGAAAATTTGTTATAAGGAGTTAACGAGAGGTAAGGTTTATTCGACTTCTTTTTTTTGTTTTCTTTATTTAATTAATTAATTTATTTATTATTATTATTTTTTTTTTTTTTTTCATTTATTTGTATTTAATCGAAATGATGAATTAAAAATATCTCATGTTATTTCTTTATTGTTCGTTCTTTTGAACTTTCGACAAAGAAGAATTCATTTATATCCATCATTTGCATTCGTACGTATTTGCATCTTATATATACGTATTTGTACACATACGAATGTAAATAAATGTACAGTGTCTAACAGAAATATTTGAAAACTTTTGGAGATAGAATATTTTTTTTGTTATTTATTATAACAAAAAATTATAAAAATTATAAAAAAAAAGTATAATTAATACTTTTTTTTTTTTTTTTTTTTTTAATCTAAATTGTGCAGATAGGGGGGAAATTAATCTGTTGTACGAAGAGAAATTAAAAAAAAGAACAATTAAAGGACTTCTTTTTATTGTTGTAATTTAAATTTAAAATAACAAATAAAAAATAAAAAATTTAATAAAAGTTAAACAAAAAAAATTTCTGTAATTTTTATAGTTTTTAAAAACAATAAATATATGCATCCCCTATTGATCTTACGTACCATCTTACGTACAATCCTGTTAATATTTAATTCAATCGATCGATATTATTAAAATTGATCAATCCTAAAGCAAATTATGTTTGTTCTTTAAGATCATTCGAATTTTTATTAAATGCTCGAGTTTAATGACACAATGAAAATATAATAGAGATTGTAATGACATTTAAATAAACATAATTTATCCTGAGATTAATCGAACTTATTATTTCATCTTTTCCTTCTTTTTTTTTTTTTTCTTTTTATTTTTTCTCCAAATATAAAGTCCTTAAATAAAAAGTTTCCTTTTGTATTCTTTATCGATCCTATAGAAGAAAATTATCGTCTTTTTTTCTTCTTCTTCTTTTTTTTTTTCTTTTTTCCTTTCGATTCTTCAAGCACTTCACACGGCACAATAATTTCTAAAATTTTTTTTTTTTTTTTTTTTTTTTATTGAAAATTCGTATCTTCGATATTTTTTAAGTTCAAAGAAATAATGACAAATTTAGAAATATCCACGGATACTTCTGTAATCGACTGTATGTTGAATTTTCCTTTTTAATTCAGTACATTCGTAAGAGTGCGTGAATGTTAAAAACAGTGCTTTTGGGAACGAGGAGAACTCCTTCGCTGCAAGCATGCACACGCGTGTTCTACGAACCTGTTTCACGTTAGTGTAGAACGACCGGTAACACGCCGCGTGCTCGCAGTTACAACTCTCCGCAGTTTCTATATCGAGCTCGTTAGTCTTAAAGGAGCGTCAGTTTTGGAAATTATTATAAGAACAAGGTCACAAAAAGGATATTTTCAAAATGGTGAGTCTGTTAATCTAATCTCTCGAAAATCTCTTTCCTTTTTCTTTTATATTTTTCCTTTATTTTTTTTTTCTTTTTTCTTTTTCTTTTCTTATGCCGTATCTATTATGAACGTGAAAAAAATTTTAATACAATGTCATCGTTTCGTTCGATTAATTTATATTTAGTCAATCTTTCTCCGTCTATGATCAAATTATTTTCTAATTTTTCTCGTGTTTCCCGAGTTACGATCTTTATTATACTTCATTATTGATTTTATCATACTTGAGAGAGACACAGAAAAACAAAGAGAGAGAAAGAGAGAGAGAGAGAGAGAGAGAGAGAGAGAGAGAGAGAGAGAGAGGGAGAGAGAAATGCTTGTTTTGTGAATGTATCTTTTGAACGTACGAAGGAGATATTTTTCTTTTTCTTTTATTTTTCAATTTCATTATTATCAGATATTAATTGAACGCGTCAGTGGGATGCAAGAAAAATTATTATTTAATTTAGTTTTGATTTTAAATTAATGTGCTTTTAATTTATGTACCAAGTTGTTGCATATTCTTTTGTCACGTCATCTATTGCATATGTATGTATTCGTATAAAAACGAAGGATACTTTGTCTGTTTGCAATGATACGATAAAAAAAAATATGAAATATTTTAAATACGAATCATCGAATAACGATAATTAATTATTAATACGATAATATTTAATTCGAATGAAAATTTTCAAAATGATCTTATTGATAAATAATATGTTTAGTTTTAAAAAATTAATTTAAAAATGATTTACAATTATAGTCGTAATCGTATACGTAAAGTTTGAGTTACTGATTAAATAGTAACATGATGTGCTTAAATTATAATGCACGGTATAAGAGGAAGTAAAGGTTTAAGGTCAAAGAAACATATATATATATATATATATATATATATAGATGAAAGAGATCTTATAATTGATTTCATTAAAAGTTTTCAATCATGATTCGTATAATCACTTGCTGAGTTTTATTTTTATTTTTTTCTTTTCTTTTTTTTTATTATTTTTTTTTTTTTTTTTATATAGATTTCAATTGTAAAAAAGGGAAATTATTAAATTAGTATCTTTAAAATAGAATATCTCGTTTAAAGAATAGTAATAAAAACAAAAAATAAATAAATAAATAAATAAATAAATAAATAAATAAATAAAAAAAGATAATTACTCACTCTCGCGTAAATTTTCTTGAGGATTCAATTTGCGTAACGCGTAATTCGTAAAATTGCACCCCGTGATTGCACGAATACAAACCACAGATATGCAACACCTGCGTCCGACTTGTGCGAATGTAATTTGATTAAATTGTCTTGCATCAGATCTCCTCGTAGCGTAATGGAATAACATCAAGAAACTCGACTAATTACAAATATGTCCATCTTTCTTTTTTTTTTTTTTTTTTTTTTTTTTTTTTTTTTTTTTTTTTTTTTTTTTTTTTTACTATATCATCACGAAAGACATGATGACTACAACGACAAAGAATGAATCTATAGAAAAAGTTTATTATTTAAAGAGTATTAAACTGTAGATATAATAAATTGTAAACCTTAGCTCATATCATCTGCATTACTCATACATGCAATTGATGCATCATTAAATAATAGAATAAAAAAAAAAAAAAAGAATTCTTTTTATCGGACAATAATTTATTCCCCATTCTAGTTTTTATAAACGATCATGTTTTGTTCCGTTAATAATACTTCACTTTTGCATACTTCACAATAATACTTCACAATTGCATAACACTATAGATCAACACTTAAGAAATATGACTGAATAAATAATAAGTAATCTTATACCGTTTGCCATCAGAAAAATAAATGAACAAATTTTCCATTGAAACATTTTATTTTTTATGATTATTATATATTTAAAGAAGGAAGATAATGGCTAGATATCAATTTTAATTACCATTCGTCTCATTAAACGAATTTAATCAATCCTTTTTATATTTGTCAGATTAATTTCGTACCGATAATTTGTAATAATGTCTAACAAACGCAATAATATTCCCTGAAGATTATTTTAAATCATCATTATCGTATATTATATTTTTTTATATTATATCCTTACAAATAAACAGTTGTTTTTGTTTATATGCGATAGAAAAAAAAAGAAAACCGGTAAGTTATAAAAAAGAGAAAGAAAGAGAGAGAGTATTGATTCATAAATTTTCAAACGAATATCATGTGATTTTCTGTGAGTTTCTTTCTTTAGTCGCAACTTTGTCGAAATATGAAAGTCAACATAGTTACTTTCTCTTTCTCTCTCTCTCTTCCTCTCTCTCTCTCTCTCCTTTTTTTTTGTTTTTTTTTTTTTAATGAATAATTATAATTTTATTTCACATATTTAACACTAGAAC